CCGCCCCCGACTCCGCCCACTTTTCCCCGGAGTTTTTTTCCCCGGAACGTGCGAGGTCTCGAATTTTAAGAGCCCACAGATACCGGGTAACGATTCCCTTCTGAAAATCATTTTTCACAAATAAAGAAAAGGAGAGTAAAACAAAAAATGTCCGGGGAATTTCATAGAGCAAACTTTGCAATAGAGAAAAAAGTCACCTACCGAGTGAGACTTGTAGTAATGAGCTCATCACAACTGAGTTCGTAATTTATAGATCATGATTCAAGAAACTAGGAACTCAAACTCAACAAATTCTTAATATTTATAATTAAACCCAAACGCGTTATCAGAAGAAAAATAAGTCATAATTTTCGTTGTTTCTAATTCTTCTGTCAATTTCAGAAAATTTGTTAAAGAATTTTAAAGTACTGTTGCCAGATAACACATTACAAAAAATCTTTTAACATTAGGATTTTGAAAAAAAAAGAGGATTTTATAAATACATGGGATGAAAAATAAGAGAGTAAAGACGAATTCAAAAAAACTGGGAGCGAAGAAAAGAAGAAAGAAAAATGAGGATGAGGAAGGAAAAAAAGGAAGGAAAAAAATTGAAAAAAAAAGAAAAAAAGAATGGGTAAATTGAGGACCAAATGTAGACGAAAAGGAAGAATATATGGGGAAGCCTCTTCCGGAAGAAAAAGATTGAAATAAATTTAATGAGTTCACATTAATGAGTACACGTTCACAGTCTCGTCACCTACATTACCCCAAAACTCTAACTAAATCTAATCGAATAAAAAAAACCATCGTTGTCAAAAAGAAAAAAAAATTCCCAACAAAAAAGGTTGTCCAACAATTTATTTTGATACTTGTAAAGCAACCAGAACGGTTTCATAGAAAAACCAAAATTTTCACTATTGGAAACGATGTCTGTGAATTCTGTGTAAGTGTAGACTACTAAAAATTTATCAATAAGAAATATGAATTAAAGACCTACAAATTTGATAAGTGCAACTATAGAAAAAGAGAGCTTCTACCATGGATTGATGCCTCGAGAAGACGTTCGACTGATTCTGGATAAAAATGGACAATTCCTGGTCAGAATGTCAGAACAAAGCATGGAGAACCTCGATCATATATTCTAAGCGTTCTATACAACAACAAACTGGACGACTTCAATGCAGTTCGTTTTTTTTCTCCTTGCAAAAAAAGTGTACTTTTTCAGGTGAAGCACTTTGTGATAAACTGTCAGCAAAAGAAGTATTTCATCAACACAAATGTTTCGTTTCAAACTATTCAAGACATGATAGCATACTATCAGAAAGGAAACATTGAGATATTAGGTTGGCGGGAAAGTCTTTGTCACTTTTTCAATAGTTTATTTCTCAAAGAAAAAATAACCGAATAATTAATTATATTGTCCATCATTATCAACAACATGTCTCCAACGTTCCCTCAATTTATGGATTCCATTGCGGTAGAATCCAGCCGGGCGTGAGGCAAAGTATTGTTTGAGTGCCGCTTCGACCGCTCCACGGGAATTGAAGCTTCTTCCTTCGAAGGCACGTGTCATATCGCCAAATAACCAATAGTCGGAAGGAGCAAGATCAGGAGAATACGGGGGGTGAGGGAGAACATTCCATCCATATCCCATCAGCTCCTGCTTCACTTGTTTCGAAACATGTGGGCGAGCGTTATCATGTTGATAGTACACTTTCTTGTCTTTCAGGGCCGAACGGTCGACTGCTTTCTTGAGGTTTCGTAGTTGAGTAGTGTAGAGGTCTCCAGTTATTGTTTTGCCCTCGGGCAGAAGTTCCCAGTAGATGGGGCCGTCCACTCCCCACCACACAGAGAGCATAACTTTTTTCGGATGAAGGTCGGGTTTTGGGACATCCTGTGGGCTCTCTCCTTCTCCAACCCACTGGGATTTCCTGTGGTGATTATCGTAGAAGACCCACTTCTCATCTCCGGTTATTAGCCGGTCCAGCCATCGATCGCCCGCGTGGAGAGTGAGAAGAGTAATCGAATCGTCGACTCGGCGGTCAAGGTTGGCTTGAGTCAGGTGATGAGGTATGAATCGACCAAAAAGTTTTCTCATTCCAAGAGACTTCAAACCTTCAAGGACTGTGCTATGGTGAACTCCGAATGTGACAGCTAGTTCACGGCTAGATTGAAATGGATCCGATTGCAATGCGTGCTTCAGCTTGTCCAAATCCAACTCACGGGGTCTCCCAGAGCGATCCTTTTCATCGAGCGAGAAGTCATCTTTTTCGAAACGATGGAACCAATTGCGAATAGTATTGTAGTGAGGGGCATGTGTGTTGTACACATTCTTCAAGAAAGTTTCCGAATCCTTCATCGTGGTGTGAGATAGGAAGAGGTAAATCAAAACATGTCTGATGTGAATAGCAGTGGGAACAAACATATCGTTTCAATTACAGATGAGGAGCAGGGAAGGAGATGGGGACTTGTTTATATGGAAGGTTCTTATCACCTTGTTATTCACTAGAGTCGATATCATACACAGCCTCCATATACGAGAACAGTGATTAAACAAACAGAGTGACAAAGACTTTCCCGCCAACCTAATACAAGATGGATGCAAACTTGTGGCATCAGTCAGTCGTCAGTTTTGGGAGTTGGACCATGAGATGATCACAATTCAAGCGAAATTGGGAGAAGGTGCATTTGGAGAAGTTGCTGCCGGAACCATGAATTTCAAAAGAAGAGGGAAGACTGTGAAAGTGGCTGTGAAACAGGTTAATAAGAAAAACTCAACGATTTCCAAAAAAAAATTTCCAGGCGAAAGCAGAGAAACTGGACAAAGAGCAGATCAAATGCTTTATGGCAGAAGCTAGAACAATGCGGAAATTGGGTCATCAGAATGTTGTGAAGTTCTACGGAGTAGCTGTGATGCAAGAACCTCTCTATCTTGTCATGGAACTGGTATCAAACGGAGCTTTGGACAGTTATCTGAAAAAGAATGAAGATCTTTCAATGGAAAAAAGGGTCGAAATGCTTCTCCAAGTAGCTTGGGGTTTGGAATATATTCACGGAAAACCAATGCTTCATCGAGATATTGCTGCTCGGAATTGTCTTTATGGTGATGGAAAAGTTAAAATTTCTGACTTCGGACTAACTCGAAATGGCACATTTTATCAAGTCAAACCAAATACAAAAGCTCCGATTCGATGGTTAGCCGTTGAAACGATAAAGACAATGATATGACTAATCAGAAGAAGGACCTTCTGAAAATAAACTTTCAGATATGCTTACAAAAAACGGACATTTGGTCATACGGAATTCTCTGCTGGGAAGTCTTTAACAATGGAGCAGAACCGTATCCTGGAATGACTCCTGCTGATGTGGCTCAACAAGTTTCCAGTGGCTACCGTATGCCTCCACATCCCCTAGCACCATTTGAAGTTCAAACTTTAACAACAGTTAGTCTTCAAATGATATTACTTTTGGTAGAAAGAAATTTTCAGAGATTCTGTGCTGAAAACCCAAACGACCGTCCGACGGCTCCAGAAGTTGCGCAAATATTGCAACGTGTCACCGGAGTTCATCGTCCGAATTTTTCAGCGATCGCTAAGAAGGAAGCGGAGGAGGTAAAAATAGATAGGAATACGTTTATCAATATGCTTAAACATTTCCAGCTACTTCTTATGAACACAGCCACAATGAAAAATTATTCACACAGGCGAAAAGGGACTCAACGGAAACCATGCGTTCCAAAAGGAATGTGATGGGACGGATGAATTGGGAAAACTTTTTTTGTTTCATTTTTTTTTGATTTCAGATTCCGGATTCCGGTTTCCAAGCAATTAATTTTATTCCGGGTTCCGGATCTCGTGAAAATGATATTTGTCCGGATTCGGATTCCGTTTCTCAAAAAAGTGATTCCGGACATCTTTGAATTAAAGTAAACTTTTATTTATCCCTTCGTCATAAATGTGTTTAAATTAGATAGTTATGTAAAGCAAGGGGTCATCTGTGTGAACATGAAAACCAAAGCAATTATATTTTTCCCAAAGCAAGTGTAGATTGTAAACGAAATTCATGGGATAATAAGTGATTTCCTTCGCTTTCTTTTTTTTTTCAATATCTCTCAATACGGATCGAGGTGTGCAATTCAGCTATTCTATTTTCCCAACGTACTTGGGAGAATTTTAAAATTAAACTTGATGAATAGCCAATTTCCTTTCATTGGGAGCCAAAGTCAGTTAGACTGAAAAAATAGGGGTGAATAGACCGACGGAAATTAAGCATATATCGCACCAAGGCTCATATCCTATCTTACTGTTAGTTTGGGAAAGTTAATTAATCTCTCATTTCCTACCTAGATACTCTAAATATTGCATCCAATCAACCTACGATAAATGAATCCAACGAATGCGAACATGAAGAAGAAGTAGAGGAAAATTTGTCGTGTGATGAATTCGCTCTCTTGGAAGAGTTCATAGGCAAATGTGATCGAGACGATGGCAGCCGACATCATTGAGAACTTAAAATTAAATCTCATAGAACTCGTTAATCTAGATTCTCACTGAGTAGAACAGAAGAACTCGACGCCCGACTGGGTTCTCCAATAATGATTTTGAGAAGAAAAGAGCCTGGAGAATGACTTGGAGAATAACCAAAATGAACCAGTTTACATCGAAAGCCATTAGGATATAAAGAAGAGAGAGACCCAGAATTGGACTGATTCCTTTATGAGCAAGGTGAAGAATTTCAAGGAATGAATCGTCCTCACTTGGAGTTGGCTGAAAATGATTTTAATATTGAATCAACTTCATGTGATTCATGTATATCAACATTTTCAAAAGTAAGAGATACTTTAAATTACCGATGAAGATCTCTCAATATCAATTAGATCAACTAATGGATTCTGTCGTGGATCCGATGGAAGTGGTTGTGTATCAACGACCGAAGAAACGTCTTTGGTTTTGTCAAGATCTTTTTTCAAAGCAGCCTCTCCAAACGAGAGAATAGAAGACATTTCGACGACTGGTATATTCTGAAACACTGACTGACTCTCGATGTGGCTCCAAAAAAGTGGGCGTGGCGTACGGAGAGGAGGGCTCTAGATTTTATTACGGTAGTTGAACAAAGAAGACGATTGGAGGAAGGGCTGTACGGATTTCTAGGAAAGTAACAAACGCTGAAATTGAATATTTTGATTTCTTGTTTCACTTTTAAAAAGGGCTCAAAGATTGTAGATATAAGTTCTGTGAAACTGCTTGGAATTAAAAGATAGTTAATTTATAGTCGAAATTAACCCATTAAAAAGATTTATTACTGTTTTTGAAACCTTTTCTGTGCTGTTTAGAAAAACTACAGTAGTCCTCCGAGCAAAAAACATGACCGCCGATTTTGTCGTATAGTAGACAACAGTTTGCCCATAAAACATGCTCTTTTCACATCAAGCTGCCACGTGTCGCCATGGCGAATCTAATTACATGTCCCCACTTGAAATGGATAGATTTATGGGGAGAAAAAAGAAGAAAACGTATAATTTGTGACATCGTAAAAAAATGAGAAGACAATTCGAAAACCTAACAAGAAGCTTTGAACAACATCAGCTTAAAATATTCCGAAGAGGTGTATCAAAAAGAAGGGCATTCTGTTTCAGAAATTTATGATTTTTGGTTTTAGAACTCGTCCTTTCTGAAAAGAACTTCGTGGTTTCGGGATCAGTGAATGAATGCAGGGTCAAAGGTTTTCCGTGCGCCAACCGAGTATTTTGTTACCCCGCCCGTTAGGCTTGCCGAGAGCCCCACTTTCTTAGAAAAGACAAATTTACTTTCCTTGAGAAACATAAAAAGTGAAAGTCTAAGCAAGATTAGTGAAAAAAAGGCTGTTACTGGTATACCAAATCCCAGGACCTCCTTTGATAATCATTGAACTTCCCTCCCAATTGCTCTTCAGCAGAGTTTCAGTGGAACGGAAATGGAGGATGGAAGGAAACGATATTAATTCTAGATACCAACACTGCTTGTTGTACCTTGAACATAGCAAGTACCTCATCGCTGTACCTAAAGACTATTGTACTTTTTGTACATCATGCTTATTTTTGGAAAAAAAACGGGTGCAATAATTGTTTTCTTGATATGAAATAAAAATATACATTTGAATAAAAATATCAATGTGGAGGAGTGCTTATTGAGCATGAAAGGATTGCCTCGATGAGCCATTGCTCACTGATGAGATTGTATTTGGTGCAATCACGGAACTTGTCTCCAATCTGAAATTTGTTCTTCTCAAATTGTTAATTGTTTTTGTATACTTACATCATGTGTCAAACTGTATAGAACAAAGTTCGGTTTGAGAGAAGTATTGTGGTACGGTGCTCGGTCTGTTTCATTTATCATCGAATCTCGAGAAGAAGCCGTTCCACCAGCAGAACGGACTATTTCAAAGAGGGATGTCCTTTCTGCAAAAAATTATTATTCGCATTCTTCGAAAAAAAAGGATCTGAATCTCACCGAGAAAATTGTAGCGTGGTTTTGGCATGTAAAACTTGCACCCGGCAAACAATTTTGGCTGCTGAAAAAGTCAGATGTAGTCTCGAATCTTTTCAAGGATAACAAACCATTTTATTGAGAATCTTCTTCCATTTTTCAATTGTGTTCTCATATGTCTCGCCTTCCATCCAACGAACCCTTCGAACCGTGTACAAATTATCATCATCTACCTTTGATGTATCTTTAATGCATGCTTTCAGCCAATCGAGACTCACAACCATTCCTGGTCTGAAAAATCGTACAATTCATACTTCCATACTTGTAAAATTCCGGGTCTGAGGAAAATTTCAAGGCCCGGTAGCAAAAATTTTGTCATTTTGAACCGAATTTTGAGCTCTCAATACAATTTTCTATATTTTTTTCGTGCTTTTTGGATTGTTTGGCTGTTTGATCAAAAAATATCAACAAAAAAAACTCGAAAAAAATTTTTTGATCGAAAAAAATCACATAAGGGTCCCCCTTATGTGTTTTTTGAAATTTTCAAAACTTGTGGAATGACAGGCCCGCCGAGCCGGGCCGGGCCTCCGAAATTCGGGAAAAAGCACGGCCCGGTCCGTTACAAGTATGCATGATTCTACATTCAATGAATTCTTATTCCGTACGTTCACATAGTGGCTTGAGAGCCTTTGTTCTGTTCCCATTCATAGAAAAATTGTGTCGTATAAAAGGCATATAGACCATTCAGACACATAGTTCTTTCTTCTATGAAAATCATGAACTTGGTTATGGTAAGCTTATGAATTTTTAAACCAAAATAGGGACTATAATTTTTTTATTTCAGCTGTTCCTCGTTGTTCTTCTGATCTCAGGAATCAACACGCAAGGATCAGAATGCCGCGTTGATTCGCAGTGCCCCGAGAAACACGCATGCGTTTTTGGAGACTGTTTGGAATCAAATCATCCCAGTCGGCGCGTCATCACTGACCAAAACATTGGGGAGCCATGTAATCCAGAGTGCCCGACCGGCCAAAAGTGTACTGCAGGACTCTGCATCCCCGAAGATTAATTTTTAGGATTTTAATAAACCATTTGAGCATGATTTTTCTTCTTTGAGGAATCTTACCCTATAATCGCCTTGAGAATTTCTCCCAGTTCTTCTTTATTGACATTGAGAGTCTGAGTGTTAGGATCCACTGCGACAACTACATGTGTTGGTGTATCCATTTCCGAAGATACCAGCTGAAGTAACTCATGAACTAGATCAGAAATACCAAGGACTTACGTTGATTTTTCCGGGTAGCTTCCGTTTCTCCGATTCATTCAAAAGTTTATCGTCTATCAGGCGCACGAAATGAATTCTCGATTTAGGAGGGAGGAGAACTGAAATTTACCCGATTGAGTATACCATTTCTGTAGAAATTTTCGGCGAACCTGGTTGCAAAACTCTTGTTTCAGTCTTATACTTCTCTATCAGCTTTTTCATCTTCGGATCATGTTTGGCCAAGTCTTCCGGTGTATTCCTATCACTATTCCGAATTTTGACACTCGCGCCTTTTTCCAGAAGGTACTCGGCCATACGTAGATTACCACGTCGGACAGCTTCATGCAAAGTTGTCTCGAGAGAAGAGGTACATGAAGCATTAATCACTGCTCCAGCTTCCACGAGAATCTTAGCAGCCTCGAGAGAGTTCTGTTCGACGGCAACATATAAGGGAGTTTTTCCGTTGTTATCCTTCTCATTTACACATGTACCTGCTTCCACAGCACTTTTCAGTTGTGGAATACGATTATTGAGAATCGAATTGATGATTACCACTTCTCCGCGCCGTGTACCAAACGAGCTCCGTCGCTGAAAAAATATGCAACATTATGTTTTGAACTCGGAAGTCGCAAAGGAAAAAAAATGCTAGAGGTCGAAATGTTTTTTATAAACACCACTTCGAGACTTCTCATCCCATAAACAAGCGTAGAGGCACACCACGATTCGCGCTTGGATGTCTGCGTCTCTGTCCCCTGTTTACTTAACTCTCTTCGAACGTTGTTACACTAGAGGCCTCCTTAGCTCAGTTGGTAGAGCGTGAGACTTTTAATCTTAAGGTCAGGGGTTCGAGTCCCCTAGGTGGCTTGAGTTTTTTTAATGTGACGAGGCCCCATTTACCTGCTCGGGTTTGATGCTCATTGATTTCTCTCCAAAACTCATTGGAGATTGAGATCTACGTTCTTCGACTTCCATTTTGATGGAATTTCTTCGATTTCGTATTGTCATGGCTTTGAATTGTTCTGGCTCCTAGAAACGCGTTATTGGAATTTTGTCGATGCTTCAACTTACCTCTGAAGTTTCTATTTTCGGTGTTTTTGTTAGGAGCTGCGCCGCGCTCTGTAAGGACGCTTGTCGTTTTGGGAGAACAATTTTCTTAGTGAACGGGTCTTCCTCCTGAAAACAAATTCCATTTCTTCTCTTAGTTGTTTAAAATATTTTTCAACAAACTTCATTTTTCGAACTTCCGAAAGGTTGAGCAAATCCAGCGATAGCAGAGCTAGGTGGCGCAGTAGAGTGACGCTATAAAAATCGAGTTTACAAAATCCGAATGAAAGTTCTAACTAACCCTAACGAAAGGAGTGAGAAGATCGTTGTCATGTTTTTTTTGTGGTATTTGCGAATCGAAAAGACCAAACTTGGGACCATCGGTTTGTTCTTTCTTGATTGTTTTCAGCACACTTGATCGTTTTGATTTTCTTTCCTTATCTGTTGATGTTGACGGGCGTTTTGCAGAAGAACGTCTGAAGACATACTGCTGAATATATTGACAGGTAATAGAAACTCACGTCGACTTGCTAGCACTGCCATAGTCATGGAAAACGTCCAGCTCTGGAGAATACGAATTTTCTCTGAAATCACTAAATTAGAGATTCTTAAAATTAAATTGGATTTTCAAGTACCGATTTTCTCCTGTTTTTATTTCGGTCGAAGTTGGTTCGTCATCCGGTTGTCCTAATTCGTCTGGCATATGTGACTGCGTTTCAAGAAACTTTTCTACTGCTTCTTGATCTCCATTTTCCCCCTGTTGCTCTTTACCAAAAACGTTTTGAGTGCAAGCAATATCAGCTTGAGTCATTTCTAAATCCGGCGCCTGGAAGATGAATATATCGAAAATCAATATTTTAGTGACGATACCTGTTCCAGAAGTTGACGAAGTTCTTCAAGAGTGTTGAAGCAAGTATTCAACATGTTCGCTCCCATAATTTTTGTAGTATTCAAAGGGTAGGAGCAGGATGGACACTGAGAGCGAGTAGCAGAACGTTTTCCGGGGGTTTTTTGATTGAAACTACCAATACAATCCCTGAGAATTCCGAAATAGCTACAGAATAAATGTAGAAAACATACCAGCAAAATGCATGCTTGCAATCCGATCCAAGATATTGTAAGTCCTTTTTAGGAGTTCTGCTGAAAACATAACATTTTTGTGTGACATACATTTTAAACAGTTTTTACCAATTATTGCAAACAATATTTTTTTGAAACTCCTCTAACGCTTTTTTAGTGTTTCCGAACATTTTAACCTAGTCGGCGTTGTGGAATAGACAGCCGACCTCAATTTTTGTTGCAGAGTCTGTGAATTCAAATTAGCCACGCTTTTGATATACTTTGCGCGTAAAGTGTGGTGTGTTCACACACTATGCATTTTATCTTACGACAACTAGCCCAAATTGTGAACTGAATTCTTTCTTTTTTTGAACTAAAAACAGATATAAAAGCTTTGTACATACTTCAATTTTGTTAAATTGTATGTTATCTTCAATGAAAAAAAAAATCGAAGACTGATACAACTGTTACGTACTTATGATGAACGAGTTTTCCCAAAATGTATGTTTTTAGGCATGAGGCCCCCAAGCGAGTTGCTCGATACTATCTCACAGCTTGCTGAGCTTGATCAGACACTCAGAAAAGGAGCAGTCAGAAAGTTAGTCTCAAAACAAGAGGTAAGAATATCTTATGAAACTTTTTTGCTTGATTTTTGATCGCATTTTTTCAGGAACTAGCTGACGAAGAGATAAATACTTATGTGTTTGAGCGACTTATTTCTGGATGTTCTTCCGCGCGAGCGGCTGTCCGATTGGGTTATACCACAGCTATGGGTTCTATTCTCGCGTCGGATGTTGGAAAATCGTGGGATCTCGAGAAAATATTGGCTGTGGCTAACAAAAAGATGGATTTGGAAGAGAAGGTATATTATCTTTGTAAACATGACTAATTTCATTAAAAATGTAAAGCTAAACCAGAAAAATTGCAGACAGTGGGGAGTGGTCATGCCATCGGACATTATCTCATCCTTGTCGTCTATGCTCAGTCAAGAAAACTCAAAGAAGCAGAAGCAACAAAACTTGTGGAGCATTCGAAGAAAGTTAGAGATGCGGCACCAAGCTTGGCGTTTTCGCAAACACATCTTTTATTTAATCTCGCAACTAAGTTGAAGGATAGCGTGTTTCAAAAGGTATTAGGAAATTACAAGAAAGTATGTGAAAACTTGGTTTTGCAGAGCGTTCTTCCTGCTGTTGAAATGTATCTCGAAGGAATAAGTTCACAGTACACGCCAGAGAATGTGTATCTCGCACTTCGTCTTCGAAACTCGATCCCGGCGATCGTGGCCAAATATGCGAAATTTGTCAAAAAGGATGGATCGTGTCAGTTTTTAAATGACCATTATTCTAAACTTCTGGCGGCTTTGAAGGTACATTTAATCTACCATTTTTTCAAATAGTTTTCTGTATTTTCAGAGGTGTGATTGCTCGACACTTCAAACATTCCTTCCACTCCTCATCAAAACTGTAGTAGAATCTTCCCAATTTGAACAAATCTATTTGAGTAAGTAGTAGAGCGTTTAAAAGCTAGCTCATATTCCCACATTTTCAGATGTTCTAGAGCCATGGGCACTCTCTAGCAATGAGACAAAGGTTTTCGACAGAATCCTGAACATTGTAACTCAGTACTTCGAGTTTGGAGGCGATACAAAGTCAGTCGTCGTTGTTTTCACGAAAGAAGTTCTGAATCGAATGGAAACTGCCACTCGCGGAAAGAAACAATTCAGATTGATGAGCAAGAAGGTAAAATTACACAACAGTTTATTATATACAAATAGAAAACCAAGATTTGAAGAAGCTGTTTCAAAGTTTAGAGATAAACTGGCTTCTGAGAGCGAATATTTCGTTGTATTTGTTTTATCGATTTACGCAATAGAGCCTGGCAGTCGTCTGGAACTGAAAATGTTTTTTTAATTTATTAAATCTGAACTTTAATCAACTGACATGTTTTGCACTGCTGTGTTAGTTCCTCGTTCTCCACGCAGTATTGTGAAGTTATGTCACACTCGATTGTACATAAATCCAGTACTGGCAGCCACACGGCGTCAGAAAATGGATCACCGCCTAAATGTAATAGTCAGGCAACATAATAGGAATTTGGAGAAAATGTTTTGGAAACTTACATAGTTTGGAGTTATGGAACAAGAATTGAGACACTGATTCATACTGAACACGTATTCTCTTAGATGCATGTCCATCGACAGTGGTCAATAATAGAAAACATAACAAAAACACCTCCAAATTAGCCATGACTTTGCTTAAAGTGACGGTTGCGAAAAAAAAGTAGTAAAAAGAAATGAACTGAATGAAAAGAGATATTCTATTAGAGGAAACCAGCCATTGTTCATTGAATACCACAAAGAAATAGTGTAAAGTAACGGGATTTTGTGTAATATGACCATTCTTTCCCTGTGCGGAAAGCTGACACATCAACAACGACCCTACTATCTGAATCACTTTTCATACACATGCCATAAAAACATGGCTATAATTTATTAACGGGAAAATTAGTTTCTTGGATTCTCAATAGAAATTTAATTTTTAGGTCGAAGACTTTGCATCCTTCATCAAAGCTAAGTTTGCCGATCTTCATGATGATGATGCCTATTCTACACTGAAAGCTCTCGAAAAGTGTGGAAGCGTTGACAAGGCATGTGGAACAGGACTTACCACCACCCTACTCTCTAATCTCGGAAAGAAGCAGGTTTCGGCTTGGATCAAGGTAACAGAATCCTTTCCCATGCCATCTCTTACGTCTGACTTATAGGAGAACTTCACAAATCAAGACGAAGTTCGCAAAGTTGTCACAGCTTTCAGTAGCTGGAACGAGAGCTCACGCGTAACAGTTTTGACTTCCCTCTTGACACAGAAAGCAACAGAAACAAGTCAAGCAGTGGTCACCAGCATCATCGACTCACTGTTCTATGTCAAGGTATATAAAATGTTGTTTCAATGAACTTTGTTGAAAAATAAACATTTCAGACCCGTGCTGGAGAATTCGCATCAATTCAAATTTCGGATAATAACGAGAAAATCCTACGACAACTTGTCGTCGCTGTTCAAGGTGAAGAGACAGTTAGTAAAGCTGAAAAGTCAATTGGAAAATCTAAACTGCGCAAAAAGTGAGTTATCCATTTTAGATTGAATACTATTTTGACTTTTTTCAGGTCGCTTCTTATTCTCTGGTATGTAACCCGCTTATGGTATCGCATTGCTGCCGATTCGACTGATGCAGAAGCCTATGACGCTGATAGCTCCGAAATTTTGGCTATTGCTAAGAATGAGTCGGATTCCAACAACTCCCTAGTTTTTGTCGATTTGTTGCTCTCGATTCTTTCTCGTGAACAGAAATTCCATCGTACTCCAGTCGCATTTGCGTTCGTTCATGCGATTCCAACGTTAAAATCTGAAGATTTGTGTCATATTGTTGAGGTTAGAAAACCTCACCACTTCCCAGAATTTTGAAATTTTTTAGACCGCTGCGATGAGCGAGACCGAGTTAGCCGGAAACGATGATGAAGATGTGGAAGACGAGGAAGGCATGCCGTTTGACGAATCTGAAATTCCAACCAGAGCAGGAAACGACGATGACGAGGATAGTGATTCAGATGAGGATGAAGAAGAGGAAGAAGAAGACGACGAAGGAAGCGAAGCAGTGGATCAAGAGCTTCTAGATAAATTGAACGCAGCTCTTGGAGATGCGGCACCAAGAGAATCCAGCAGTGATATTGAAATGGATGATCTTGATGAAGCAGAAATGCAAAAGATGGACGAACGCCTCTCAGCTGCTTTTAAGGCTATAGCTCCAAAAGCTACAAAAGAGTGAGTTGACCTAATATCTTTTTTCTATTGTAAGTTCTTGTTTCCAGTAAGAAAAGAAGCGCCAAAAATGTAGAGGCATTGAAAATGAAAATTGCTGATCTACTACTCATCGCAATTTCTTCAAAGGATCTCAGTGAAAGCGACAAAATTGTAAGTCGGTATGAAGTTATCATTACGAAAAAATCATTTTCAGAAAATCATTGTTCCCCTCTTGAAATGGGCAAAGGTTGATGCGAAAACTCATGACAAAGTTGCTCAGAAAGCATTGGGACTTGTGAATATTGTCGTAAGAATGAAGGTAACCAAACATGCATAGCTAGAAAAATTGTCTATCTTCTTTTTCAGTTTTCTGATGTTTCCGAGAAGGATGCGTTGAAATTGCTCAGGCAGGTCTTGGAAGAGGCTCAAACCTCCACCAACTTGCTCATTATTGATGCCGTGGCTCGCTGCGTAACTTTTGTGGTTAGCTTTTGAACGAATTCATATAGAAGATAATTTTACAAATTACAGCTCAAAATCAGCGCTCATGATGGAAAGTCTATGTCAGCCGGGGCTCGCACCGAGTTCCAAAAATTATTCGAGAACTATTTGCAAAATGTGGAAGGAAAAGTTCCATCGAATTTTGTCATCCAACCGATCGCAGATCTTCCATTGCTTTTTGTTGATCAATTAGGAATGCTCCTGGACGCAGGATTCGATGAGGAGAATCGTATTTTCAAACGCACGGAAATCTTGGGAGCAGTTGCCATGATCTTCTCCAAACCAGTTCAACAACAGGCCACTATCAAATCAGCCGTTATAAAGAAGATTGGAAAATGTTCATCTTCCTATTTCCAGAAGGTTCTTGATACCGACAAGTCAGAGGTTTGTCATTGAAATAGTTTCGTGGTATTTCAATGTTAACTTTTTAAGTTGAAACCTCGTCTCTTCGGAACTGTTCTTCACCTTGTTCACAAAGTAGCTACTTGTGTCGCAGATGATGAAAAACACATGGAAGCACTCCGCGAGTCTCTCGAAACTATCATAAAGAAGATGTCAGAAGGAGAAACTGTGCTGCAGTTGAAGAAGATAAACCCAGTTTGTATTCATGTAAGTGTGAAAGTTTGAATTTTGAAAAATCGTTCACGAATTTTAGATCGTCGGAAAGTCGATTGTTGGAGCTCTCACCTCAATCAAGAAGAGTCTCGAAATTGAGAATTGAGCAGATACGAAAAAGTAATTGTTTCAGTTCACGGTCGCCCCAGCTCTCAAAATGAACTGCAAGCCTTTTTCTCAGCGGAGCGCGGTTGCGCGCGCTGAAATTTTTTTTTTTAATTTTGCACTGAAAACCCGGTTTTTAGCGAAATTTTCTCACTTTTCGACAATTTTTTCAAGTTTTCGTCCATAGAAATTGTTAAACAGGCTAAAACACACATTTGTAAGTACAAAATCAGTTCCGACAAAAAATGAAAGAGGAGATCGACTTTGAAGCATTTTTCGGAAACCGAAAATTCCTCAAATTGTTCTGTGTTTTAAGAATTTCTTTTGTTAAATTATTGTGAAGAATCTATTTTTGAGTGTTTCAAGCTATTATTCGATAAAAAACTCTCGCGGTGAGAAAAGATACCGCGATTTTTCGAAAAATGCTTCAAAGTTGATCTCCTCGTTCATTTTTTGTCGGAACTAACTGCTTTTGTACTTAAAATGTGTGTTTTAGCCTGTTTAACAATTTCTATGGACGAAAACTTGAAAAAATTATCGAAAAATGAGAAAATTTCGCTGAAAACCGGATTTTCAAAAAATTTTTCAAAAAAAAAATGAGACCCCGCAAATTCCGGAGAAAAAAATTTCCGGGGTAAAAAAAACTCCGGAGAAAAGTAGGCGGAGTCAGGGACAGAGCCTAAATTGCAACCCTGGCACGGTTTTGCCGCATGGTTTTTCTCGTGACCGCATCTAAATGTGCTAAT